ATTAAAACGAACAGGAAACGGACAGGAGTTTACTTGCGAAGACAAAACTATCAAACAGAAGCCAAAACAGTATTGCTTGGTGTAATCATGCTTCCCAACGCCAGATACCTGCAACTGTTGATAGCATTTGTAGTATGCATCGCGTTGACAGGGCAAAGCCAAGCAAAAAATGTCAGCTCACATCCGAGCCAAACGTCTACAAATCTGGGAAGATCAACGATATGGAAAAAGACAACTCTCTCTAATGACACGGAGACTTCGGTAAGTGATGATGTTCATTTCAACTATTAGAGGGTTTTGCATGAGTAAACTATGTCGTGTAATAACAAGAGCTCCACAATATAGACTTGTCGGGATTGGATTCGCAACTCATACCAAGGGATCACTGAGCTTTAAAAGCCCTCATGGTCAAACGAGTCACTGAGCTTTAAAAGCCCTCATGGTCAAACGAGAATTGGCAGTCGCATATTGTTACAGGGGCATTTCAAGCTCTAGATTAACAAAATAAAGGTTCCGCCTACTACGACCTTAAAACAATATCAAGTTCAGTGCATAAAAAAGTTTAAAGTCGTTTCCTAACTTCTTCAATTTCTGAAACAGGCCAAGCATCATATACCTTGGATCTCTGCTGATTAACTAGTGATGAAGTTTGCTAGAAAATCGCTTCAGAAATCTTCCATAAAAAAGACTGGAGATTTAATATCCGGAATAAAGTCCCGGTCAAACGAGACTTGATGACAATTGTCAATCACGCATTGTTACAGGGGATATTTCAAACTCTAGATTAAATTAACAAAATAAAGGTTTGACGAGTGTTCCAACTATGTTTTAACTCAAATAGAATACATGATAGTGTTGGGAAAGCATTAAGAACAGCTAACCAAGTTCGCGTGACTGTCAACTCTCATGTACTCCCATCCCCACAAGCAACGTTCTTGACACGTACGCTAATCGGAAATCACTCGAGACAGATGGCGAACGTGACTTCTAGAATAGGGAACCAAGGTGATACCTTTGACGCGTTCAGGAATTAGTGGTCCTTTGCATATTAAACTAATACTAACTTAGAAACTACTAGCATTTATCAAGAGGTGGCAATTTTAAAAACACGACTGAACGATTCGCAAATACTGTAAAGATCGTCACAAAATAGTTGATCAGGTTGGCCACGTGAGCAGATCACCCTTCCGTGAAGATATTCCATTCGTGAATTTACAAATGCTTTACAGAACGCCCGAATACGACCATTAATCATTATTCTCTATATACACAAGTTATCAAAGTTAAAATCTAAATAGCACATATTGATATTTCCTGCTGTCGGCACCCTATATTAATTCCTTGTCAAAAACAACTGGTACTCTGGAGCTAGTATCTAGACAGAGCGAAGACTTTGTTGGCGACCTAGTAGTTGACCAAAATATTAGCCTGCATGTCAACCTATATAACTTCACAGACGAATTGGTTAACCCTCGCTAAATAATCCGACAGTGGGGTGGGGATGGGGGGGGGGGGGGCAAGGGAAATTATAGTAACTTTAAGTCCTGGGAAAGCTAAATTTGTGATTTATGGTAATGCTGCATCATGAGCCAAGATCTTGGACCAGGATTGCCGCTGTCAGATCTATACGTATTGCCGAACAGTTGGTCATGTGCTATAATCATTTCGGAATTTCTATAAACGCTTGATCGCAGGCTGTTTCAAGTTTTCAGCAATGCCATTGAAACAATCAGTGAAAACAGATATTGTGAAATACAATATCCATGTCGTCTTTCCGACACGTCTGTATTGCAAACAATATTGCAAGATTGTAATAATATCTGTTGGTTAGAAGCAAAGCATGACGTCAGGTCTTCTATTTTGTCGCTTTGGGCTTCCCGCGGACAATCATATCAAGAACAGTATATGACACTCAAATCTTACTGCACTTTACCCAATGTATTTTTTGGCACGAAAGTGAGTTTTTCTTAATTAATTAAATGGTTATATGTCGTGATTTTCATTCTATCCACGCCCAGGGCTAATTTTTACCTCATTTTTTCCCAACACTCAATTTGTTTACCCAATGGCAGAATTTAGTGGGCAGGGGTTGAGGACATCCTCTTACCAGTTAAATTGTGACACCCCCCCTGGAATTCAGTTTATATCCCCCCCTCTCCTTGAATTTCCTAGGAATTTCTATGATTTCATTATTAGATACCCTTGGAAAATGGCTATAATCACAGACCCTCTCCTGGATTTTGGTCAGCATGGTCATAGCGAATGCACAATAACACTATTTTTGTTTTACAGAGAGGAGGCTTGAGCAAGAGCCAAAAAAGAAAAATCATAATCGTGACGCTGGTTGTAGCAACAACGGGTGCCATCTTCAACGCTGCTGTCATTTTGGCAATAATCATAGATCCTTTGAAAACGCTTCGGAAAGGAGCATGGATAACCATCCTGAACCTTGCAATTGCAGACTTAATTTCATGTATATCGGGCTTTTGTGTTTTCGGATGGGAGTTTATCAAACCCAGTAGAGAAAGCGAGACAGAATATGCGATTTCCTTTTTTGGTTGGAGTTTTGGGGTCTCTTCTTCGTTCCTCATGCTAACATTCTTTACAGTGCAAATTTACGTGATCACAAAATTTCCTTTGAAAAGTCGTTTCATGTTCACGGACGTCAAGGTCGTCCTGATAACATTGGCAATTTGGCTTTTCTCATTTCCATTAGGACTAAGTTATATCTCCTATCTTAAATACCCTGTAGAAGTGGGTTTAAAACTTTGGGCAGGCCGAATATGCGTCCTACAAATTGCACTCCTCGTTCAAGTGATCTTGAATATTTCTGTCACAATCGAGATCATGAAAAGTGGACGTAACACTGGCAATCATTCTTCACAAAACAACAAGCACAGGAATATCGCAAAGACAGTCATCATTCTTACCCTCGTTCTCCTTGTCACGGCTTTCCCGTATCTCTTATTCCGACAAATAGAATTTATCTTCAGATTGGGGCACTTTGGTGACAGTAAAAGCGCGCACACATTGGGCTCCCTTTCTTTTGGCTACACCCCGATCGCAGTGCTCAATTTTACGGCCAACCCAATTCTATACTCTCTTCGTTTGCCAGACTACCGACGAACCCTGCTCGCTTTCGTTGGTAAAATTAAAAGTAAAGGTGGCCGTCCACTTATATCGACACCGAATACGTCGTTGAAGTTAACACAAACGCACGCGTCTTCCTTGCTACGAGGCTCCGACCGTTCGTCGTTTCAACAAAGCAAGAGATGTTCCATGGAACGATCATCTGTCCCCGTCAGCTCGCCTGTATGAAGATCCCGTGCGATCCAAAACATTAGAGAGTTTACGATCTACGACGCGGCCGACTCAACGCTTTCGAAACAAAGAAATTTGTCATGCAAGACAAAAACTGTGAATAATTTGTGGCCCCAGGGATATTCTTAACGGCTATGTCATTCTCAACACAACGTTAAACTAAGCATTATATTATAATGTCTTTCAAGCAACGTGAAAGTTTATTACAACAAACATTTCATCGCCTTAGCCGACCATAGCAGTTTGTAAGGTTATTTGAAAAAGCTTCAAATATTTATTACAGTTATCAAATTGCTTATCGTTCATTCTTGAGCTGAAATTCAGACCGCGTCGCAGATCATAAACTCTCTAACATCTCACGACCCGGTGAACAGTATATAAATAAGAACAGTATAAATAATGGTAGGAAACTCGAAAAGGATGTACTATACTACTATAGAAGGTATTATATACCATTGCATGGTAGCCTAGATTGTTATGCAAAACCATGGTCGTTTCATGATCATGTGCGGTTCTTGTGAAATCAAGCAATAACGATGTTTGATTTTGCAAGAAACATGATGACTATTGTAATGCTTAGTTTTATGGTCCATTGTAGCAGGCCGTGTGCAGGCATCTATCCTTAAATGCGGGTTGGTGCCTGACAGGTTGATATATATATATATATTTGGGTTTTGCCACGGTTAATTAAGTTTGTTTGATTGGTTTATTCTATTCCCTTTCCCTTTCTAGTTATCCTATAAAGGCTAGTTTCCACTCAGGAAAATTATCCCTGGATTGGAACGGATACTGAGAACATTTTTCTTTGTGTTAAAGTCATTAGTTCCAACCCAGAGCTCACAAGACAAAGAAAAACTTTCTTGTCCGTTCCAATCCACGGATAATTTTCATGAGTGGAAACTAGCCTTAAAAGCAGCTTGTTTTATTAAGTGTCTGTCGAGAAGTATTTCACAAATGTTTATATTTAACTCGCTCGTTCGACGGCAGATCATTGAAGAGTTATACAGCGCTCATATTAAATGAGTTACTTCAGCTGGCTACGCCGGTTTACACTATACCAGATAGTTTTCCGTAGTGGCGCAAAAGATCATTTGTAATAAGACCTCGGAAAATAGCGTTCCTAAATTCTAAAAGGTATGGATAGGTGTTTTTCGCGTCGCTATTCGAAAATCTATCGGCACACGGTGTAAATGTACTCACGTAGCCTTAAACTTGAAGTTTCTAAAACTTAAAGCCCTTATCTTGCTCTGCTCAGTTCTTGCAACTTAGTTGTTTTATATTCTTTACGTTTAATTATTAAACACAGAAGTTATGTCAAATATAGATATAGGTAAATTTTTCCACTGAAGTGGCTTGAGAAATAACATAAACAAAAATAGTCTAACATATATGTGGTATTGTAGAGCTTGTATCGTCTACTGATATATAATAAAGAGTTAAATCGCACCTCCATCTCAGAATTTCACAATTTTTCAAGACGTCTTCCCCGCCAAGAGCCTGGGTACGAGATTGCTTCCCCGCTACCCAACTCTAGCCTGCATGCATGCAGGCACACCCGCGAGGCGGGACACCTGAAAGTCGGGCGAAGCGTTCTTCGTCTCGCCCGCTGTTCAGGTGTTAACTATGGTTTATCGCGTTTTATCTTTCACTTCAAAATTAGCCATTTCTTTTTTAACCAGACACTCAACGTTGTTTGTTGAGCGCTATTTGTACATATATGTAAGACAAAGCAATAGTATTTTAAACAATTCCTAGTATTTTAGGCTACGTACACTGTACTCTGGGAAGTTTTCCATAGCGGCGCGAAAAAGCACCTGTCCGATACGGAATGTACAACTTTCAGAAGCTGAGCGAAACAACATCTCTCTGTTGCAATAATTCTTCTGAAAATAGCGTTCCTAAAAGGTACGAATAGACGTTTTTTTCACGTCGCTACGGAACAGCTATCCGATACAGTGTAAGCTTTATTATTAAAAGAAACATTATTGGAAATTGTTGGAAGCATGATGGGTTTGTATGCTTGGATGCAGGTATGTTTGACCAAAGCCTTTATGGTTTTAACTTGAGGGCTTGTGTGCGTGTGATGGAACTATAGTTGAACAACAAGAACAAACTTCGACATTCAAGCGAAGGCAGATATTTTTAAGTCTTTTAAAACATAGTAAATACTAAATAATAGATCAGCAGCAAATAGCAATTATATAATCCATATTATATAATACCATACATAAAATCCATATTATACATGCATGGCCACAATATATAATCTTTGATGATAGACGATAAAAGTTTAATATATTTTAAAATATTGACCACATACTGATCTGATTTCATTCATTTTTAGTCAGCATTGCCTTCCCATTTAACCGTCCCTCGTGCATGTACACTCTCCACGCGTAATATACAATAGAAAGAAACGCAATGATATTGCACGACTGAAGTATGACCCTCAGAGGTGTAGCTACGGGGAATCCGGACCACCTCCCTTCACTTTTCTTCAGGACGAATTTTTCTTTTAAATCTGTAAAGAAATTAACTTGGGGGCGTAACCTCTTGTTTTCATCTATGACATAAAATATGTCAAATCTTTCGCTTATCAGATTATCATAAAACGTGTCGATCTAATGTGCATGAAATACGGTTTCGTATAGACCCTAAAAATTTCCAGGGGACCCAGACTATTAGCCACCCCCCCCCCCCCAACTCGTTCGGGGATGCGTCCCTGATACCCAAAACAGGGTTTTACTTTTAGCCAGGATCTGAAAACTGGTTGTTACAATACTACTGTCACTAGCTAGGTAGTATGCATTCTAAAAACTTGACTGTAAAACTAAAAGGGCTAAAATTGTAGCAGTTTGGAAGTGTCATCGTAAATTGTCACTAAAATACAATAAATAACAACAAAGCTTTCTCGAAATAATGCAAATGTTCGACAAAAAGTGCGAATAATCGGAATAATTTAATACTACGAATAGTAGAACAATAGTACGAATTATTTGACTAATCGTCGCTATTCAATTGCGGTTTGTTAATTGTTAAAATCATGGCCTAAAAGAATGTCTTGTGTATGATAAATCTTTCGCAGATAAGCAAATTCACTAATGGCCGTCGAAAAGCTGACATTTTTAGTTTGCCGTCTTAAGTCAAAATTGGCCGTCTAAAAGACGGCTAATGGCTAAGACCCAGCGGCCTAAAACAACCTTGAACCCTCCGAGTGAACCGTTAATTAGTGAATTACCAGTGCGTTTTGCGGTGGCCCAGCGAACGCGCAGCTGAATTATTGAATGTACATCAGTCGCTTGTACTATCAGCAGGCAGACTTTGTACAGCTTTCTTAACGCGCGCACAAATCATTTGTACATTAATTAATAATTCAGCTGCCGAGCTGTTTATATCAACATCTTATCAGTCGCGACAAAGAATAATTACTAATAGGGAAAGGGATACAACTATCTCAGTGAAAAATACAAGGAGACCTTCGACGTTTCGAGCGAAGGCCCTTCGTTTCTTATTATTGCCACTACAAACCTACACGGACCATTCAAGAAAACAAAAATACTTACATTTTTCTATCGATTAAATCACGACAATATACACATGCACCATTATAGTATATTGGATCAGTTTTTTGAGAATATTTAACTGATGCGATCAACACTTAGCCTACATATGTTAGTTAATTTCACTTTCAAAACACGTCACAGTCCGTATCTATATATAAACATAGCATTTTTGAAATTCAACCACACACTGCAAAAAGGAACTTGAACATTGGTTATACTTCGAGCTAAAGTGAACTTGCAATGATGCTTTTTGGCCGAAGACACGAGATATGTCAATTGTTGATAGCAGTTTTACTGTGCATGCCGGCGTTAGCAGGTCAAAGTACATCTTCACCAAGTATCATGAAAACCGTGTCCTCTAATGCTTCTAATGCGAGCAACGAAACAACATCGTCTTCGAAGGTAGGATATATAGTTGGGTTTTCTCCGATCGTCTACACTAACACGATGGAAAGTAGACGCCTTCATCTGTAAAATGGGCTTTCCGAAAATAGCTTTGAAAATGGAGACTTGTTAGGGAGGATTGTTATGCATGAGCGATTTATTAGCACAATCACGCTCGTCTCTACACTGTCCTAGCTTATCTTTAACCTATCTTTCATATTGTAAAGATTTTAGATTCAACTAAATACAAACGTACAGTATCATGTCCTAATTGCTAGTTTGAACGGCAGAAAATGTTATTCAAACACGAACAGATGCGTGTGGACTACTACTACACACGTAAAAACACACAAGTTGTAACAAGCCTGCAGCAGACTTGTAGGAATGCTGTTCCAACAACTTGTCAACAGGATGTGTTCGTACTGCTTGTTCCCAGCTTGTTGACAACTTGCCACAAGGTTGTTGAGCTCAACAGACAGACTTGTTACGAGTTGTTCCAACAACTTGTTATCGTCCTGCAATTCAACAATTTGTCAACAAGTTGTGAGTGACAACCTTGTAGCAACTTGATAAAATAACAGCATTGTTACAACTTGTTGACAAGCTTGCTACAAGCCTGTTGCGAACACATCTTGTTGACAAGTTGTGAGATTCTTACATGTGTAATTCAGTTATCCGCGGTTTTCCGTGTCATCTTACATCATCACGTATGCGATTCAAGATCTGTCTCCAAGAGCCTGCGGAGGAGGGCAGACTTAACACTGTTTTCACATGTAGAGGGTCCTGTCTACATATCTCCTCTTTTTTCGGCGTATAAATTCGCCAACTGCAGTGTCGGACCTTTTGGGACCAATTTGGGTTTCCAAATGACGAAATGGACAGCCATGATGCTCTACCAACTTGAGCTACGAGGTCAAGTCAGTTCGAGTGGTTCGAATCAATGCTCTAGCTGAGTTGGGAGAGCATTGGACTAGCAAACCAAAGGTCGCGGGCTCGATTCCCTCAGCTTGCCCGGTGTGGACACGCTCAGAGAAACATCACAAACATATATTTTTGAATTATATTCTTTAAATTATATTCTCTTATACAGCTATGGTTTGAACTTACTGAGGAAGACAAGATGAAAGTCAGAATCGCCACTATGTCTGTGGCGGCAGTGGGCATACTACTCAACTTGGTTGTAATCATTGCCATTGTTATCGACCCTTTGAAAATACTTCGAAAAGGACCATGGATAACCATACTCAACCTGGCAACCGCTGACCTAATTTCATGCATATCAGCTTTCTGTTTATGGGGAGAAACATTTTTCAACAAAACTCAAAACGATTTGTACTCTGCGACTGTTACTTTTGGCTGGACATTCGGTGTTTCTGCTTCATTCCTATTGTTAACATTCTTTGCTGTGCAAATTTTCCTACTCACAAAATTTCCACTAAAAAGTCGCTATTGCCTCACAACGCAAAGGATCGCATTAGTTTGTATATTGCTCTGGCTCTTCGCATGTCTGTTGGGCTTCAGCTGTATCGTAGTGTGGCTTGATAAACCAAAACTGGATTACTTGAAAATTTCCGCAGCTCAAATAGGCGTTCTACAAATCGCACTTGTCGTTCAAATAGTCTTGAATATCCAAGTTGCGTTCGAGATAATTCGAAGTGGACGAAGCGCTGGCAATCCTGAAAACGCCAAGCACAAGAATATCGCAAAGACTGTGATCATTCTTACACTGATTCTCTTCTTTACCGCCTTTCCTTATTTCATCGTGCAACAAATAGACTTTCTAGTGAGATTGGGCTACCTTGGTCAAGGTAAAACCGCGAAGGCATTGTTTAGCCTTTCCCGCTGCTACGTACCAATTGCCATCCTAAATTTTGGGGCTAACCCAATTCTATATGCCCTACGTCTACCAGATTACAGGCAAACGTTACTCGCTTTCGTTGGTAAAAAAGAAGTCCGTTCACGAAGTTCCAGTTTGCGAAGCCAAAGAACGTCGGTAACTAAATCTCACACCAAAGAAATGAAGGAACAGCTTATGTGACAACGAAAAGCACGCTTGTCCCACCCGTTACGTGGCCGGAAAAACCGGAAGTGGAAAAAAAAGTAAAAGATGTTCTCACACATCATTCGGCTGCGCCTCGCCGTTGTTCATGGCACTTGTATTTAGAAACCACCTCTAAAACACTAACTCGGATTTGAAATATTACTTCTTATATGTGACGTTGCGTCTGTTGAACTGGTTAATAATTCTTTGAGACATATTTTTGAAAACTTTATTTAGCGTGAATAACGCTGTATTTTGGTGAATTTAATGTAAATGTTTCAGTTAGTTTCTATAAGCAAAACGGACAAAAGAACTAGAAAAGTGTGAAAGCAATTCAGATTTATTCTTGAGCCCCTCCCCCCGCTAATAAAACACGACCTGCGAGTTTATTAAACGGCTTCAAACACGACTATAAATGCAATAGATATACTTCCTTATTACTATTCTTTATATAAAGAATACTAATTAGGAGTATTTTATCAGGTTTAAAGCCACTGCACGTGACATATTATGGTTGACATGATTTGCCAATAAACTTATGAATTATTAATGAGTGTTTGAAATATAATTATTTAACGTCGTGTAAACTTTTCATCGACCAATTTTAAAATAAAATGTCTTGTTATAAAGAGAAGTATTTGAACATATATCAATCTCGTCCCCAGAGCACGCCCATTCGCAGCTGAGCAGATGGGGATAGTGTTTTCCATGCAATTTGATTGGTCGCCCAGTCCCGGATATTCTTGCACAATTCACCCCCGGACTCGCCTGCGTGCCTTGGACCAAAACATGTCCCCCCCGTTTTGCTCCGGTTACAGACGAGCAAATCGTTTTACTAAACGAAGCTGCGGTTCCGTCAAAAGCGCTTCTGCGCAAGCGCGCGGGCAGCACTCGCGATGTCTAGTCACTTGAATGGCCCGCATAAACCTGTACATAGCATAGATATCTTATATACACTAGATAGTGCATCTAATTATTCTGCAATTCAAAAATTGAAGCCGTGATTGCAGACTCAGGTCGTTCCCATGAAATGAGAAGATTCGTATGTTTTCTATTTCTTAAACAGGGAACTTAAACATTAAGTAAACCCTATTCCAAATGCATTTTTAAACTATTCGAATGATGAAAGTTATTGTTGTTTTTAAGCGTTTGTTACTAAGTGGGAACAACCAACATGGCCGCCATTAGCCTGCGAACAGGCTCACTGGGAGAAAGGTGAGCCTGCACGGAACCATGCGTTTTATTCAATCATCCCCTTTTCGCATCTGCTAAACGTTAACCAATCAGCGTCGACTGCGATAAATAAACTGTC